AAGGCTAATTATGAATTCCTGGGAAGAGAGCAGTGTGTTGGAGTTCAGTAGCGCCTTTCATCTTGAGAGCTTATGCGTGACTGTGAACTTGAGTGTCAACATCGACAAGCAGGGAGACAGCCTCCTAAACAGCCACCGATTTACCCTCATGGTTTGAAAGAAAACATTCCTCTAACAAGCAGAGGACTCTCTGCATTAAATGAAAAAGGAAGTCATCAGAGTGTTTTAGCTTATACTGCATTAAGGTCTTCTGTTCCACTGTTTTTGACTCTGCCCATTTTTTCGCCAAATGTTAGATAAAAAGAAGACATCTCAAACACCTGCAGATGAAATCTTAAGTCAGATTAACTTGAATTTTTGCTTTGGATCTCTCACAAAAATAAACTGTGTCCGTCCCCTTTTTCTTGAGCCTCCCTTATGGGCTAGCATTTTTCTGTATTAGCAGCACAAACATGGGTAAGGTGAGCTTTCTTTCCTCAAGAAGTTCACATCTAAGAGAAAACAGGTAGTTATGATAGTAACAGTAACTGCAATATGAAGGTTTTTCATAATAGAGGTATAAAAAGTTTTAAACAAGTTGAGCCACAGATATTCTCAAAATTACTTTGCAAAAGACAATTGTTTTACTCTTTTCAGGACATAATTAGTTTGCATAGATAAAAGATTACTTTTGCCAAGAGTGTTTCATCTCAATTCAGTTCAATATTATGATCCGCTAATGAACTTCAAGAGGCAAATTCATCAAGAAAATAGGAGAGCAGAGACATTTTCATTTTGTCAGGAATGAATGCAATCTCATTTGCCCCTTTCTTCTAAATATTATTTTTGCATTACCCTTCCTTCCATGCAAAAATTATTCTTCCTGACATTTCTTTTAATCAAATCCCCTATCTTTCAGAGGACTACCAAATTCTGTCTTCTACAAGAAGTCTGAGAGAGAGCTTGCTCGTAGGTATCTTTGTCTACTTTGGGATTGACAATTAATTGCTTGAATAAATACTTGGCATTTGACCACAGCTGTCTTTGCCAACTGGGTTATAAAAGAAAGAGTCTGTGGCTTTCCAATACGGTGATGATGATGATGATTATTAAAGTGATGGTGATGAGAGCATCATGGTAAACATTTAATTAGCATTGCTTCATTAATCATCACCCGTAATAAGATGTACACTATTATTATTTTCCTTATCATAGAGATGGGAAAAACTGAGTCTTAGAGTAGTAAAGTAACTTATTTCACTCTACGATTTGCACTGATGTTAAAATGTGCTGACAGTTGGAAACAAGCACATTCGTAAAAGATCCTGTTCAATTTTATAGGTGCATCTATTTGTCTTGGGTAGGGAATTGGCTCTTTGAGTCAAGTGATGAGACGTAGCCAGCTCTGAACACATCTGATGATTATTTTCAGACCTAAGTAATTTTGTAAGGAGAAGAAATCTTACCAATCATCTGCTTCTTATTTGAAGGGCAAAGAAAATAAGACTCAGAAAGCCTCTGTCACTCAAGGCATGCCCAGCTCTCCCGTCCACAGGCCAGGGCTCAGTCATCTCAGGCTCAGGGTCTCCTCACCTCAGTCAGAAACAGGTTTATGAGAGTTAAAACACGTGCTAACCCTTTACAGCTCAATGGCATCCTCCTGAAGACGGGTCATAGACAGAGAAATAGGTAGGTAAAGATCTCTCTCTCTCGATGTATAGATAATGTATAATATACATCTTCTTTTGAGATGCTTGGGATACCTGAGTCTTTAGGCCTTAAATTAAACTCTCCCAAAGAGTTTTAACATTTATTGGAGTTAATTTCTATAGCCTTACATCCCTCTTGCTATCTAGCTTGCGAGTTCGTCTGCTTCTAACATTCTCCTGGTCTAATTTGCTATTGCTAATAGTGAGAAAGCAGGTAATCAGGTGTGTGAAATCCATGCTTAATAGAAAAGTGGAGCTGAGTAAATGCTTATGGGAACTTCAGTAAGTACAGCACATGTATTTTTATAAGTGGCCTTTGGGATTGATTTTTGCTTCTAGAAACTACATTTTTTTCTTTCTTTGCCTTTATTTTTGTTTTGTTTAGTTTTGTTTTTTGTTGTTGTTTTTTATTTATTTTGCTTATTTTAGGCCGTGGTAAGGTTCATGGCTAAATCCCATGTGAATAAAGATAAAAACAGTTGAATGCCTTTTCATGATCACATTTTCAGTCTAGAACACAAATCCTTGTTTTACATGGAGTTAATTTCTTTCTATTGTGAAAATTATATCCCAGAAAATTTGAAGATTTTAAAAACAACCACAGAAGTCACTTTCAACTCCAAGATTCCTAATCTCACTCCCTTGGGATCCAATAAACAGAGAGGTGGTGTGACTTTGCAGAGAACACACCTCTGCTCATAATGACTCATCTCAATTCAGTCCCCAACCAGGCGATGGCTGCAACATCTGGGTGCTCAGGTGATTAAAGCGGGACTTAGAGAGGTTTCCGAGCTTGTCTAATCCAGCCTGGTTCAAGCCATTAGGCTGATAACACGAGGGTTTACAGGCTGATACTAGGCAAAGAAAGCAGCTTACCCGTCATTTCTAAGCCCTGTGTCAGGTGAATGAAGGGCAAACAGTGACAAAAAAGCAAATCATAAGTGCGTCTTTTTCATATTTCTGTACTTGGATGAGATAGCTTTGTTACATGAAAAGAAGTGAGGTATTTGGTCCCTGGGGGGGTTTTTCAGGGACTTGATAAAGAAACAAAACAAAACACTCCTCCCCCCCCCTTCTTTTCTACCTGAATTCAGAACCATTTGAGAATCACATCTAACTGTCAGGCAGATGGCGGTCGCTATATCACCTTGATTGCTGATAAAGCTGTTATGGAAGGGTGTTCGCTAAGCTCTAATCCTGAGACCCAGTTCTGGACAGACTCACTCACTGTCCTTATAGGCTGCCCCGTAGCAGCAGAGTGGGGCCTGGGCTTCCCGATAGAAAAGGGGTGGGCCGTCCAGGCCAGTTTCGCATTGTCAGCTTTTCTGCCTGAGAAGTCAGCCCAGCTCCCCAAGAGTGGCGGAAAGGGCCAGGAGAATTAGGCTCACAGTGCTTCGTGCACATGAAAAGGCAACCTGAAGGATGGAGCATAAGCATCCTTAAGGGTCGGGTGTGCATGGACATTGGAAGTCCAATACTCTCTATTTCCGCACCCTGCTTTATTTTTTTAATTCATCTTTATTGTTGAAAGCATTACAGATGTCCCCCTTTTTCCCCAGTGACTCCCCTTTACCCCTTACCCGCTCCCCCTCCAGGCCTTCACAGCACTATGGTCTGTGCCCATGCCTCCACCCCCACCTTCCCTCTGAGATCCCTCAGTCTGATTCATGCTCCTGTGTCTCTGGGTCTATTTTGTTCATCGGTTTATTTTGTTCATCAGATTCCACATATGAGTGAGATCATGTGGTACCTGTCTTTCTCTGCCTGCCTTATTTTGCTTAGCACAATACTCTCCAGGTCCCTCCATGCCGTCCCAAAGGGTACGAGATCCTTCTTTTTTACAGCTGCATAGTATTCCATGATGTATATATACCACAACTTTTGTTTAACCTTAAAATAGTTTACCCCATCCCAGTCCCAACCCAACTTCATAAACATTGTGGAGGAGTTAGAAGTATATCACCACTTTACAGATGAGGAAACGGCCCCAGAGAGGTTACTTACCTTACTCAAAGTAACGGGTGATCATGAGAAGGGCTGAGAATAACTCAGCCCTATACTCTCCTAAAACCTGTCCTTCCACGTCCCCAGCTATTTCTCACGCTAATGAGTAGTTACCCAGGCAAGTCAGCTTCCTCAGTTCGAAACCATTCTGAAGCTGTGCTGATGGCAATTTGATAGGTAATTAATTTATATCAGTGTTTGTGATTTTTACCTTATTTGGAAAGAATTTTAGACTTTTCGAAAAGGTTCAAAAGTAGTACAGAGAATTCCCGTATGTCTTTTAACTCAACTTTCCTTAATGTTAACGTCTTATATAATTATAGCATAATTATAAAAAATGGGAAATTGACATGGTGCAACACTGTTAACGAAACTATAAACCGTACTTGAGTTTTACCCTTGTTTTCAGTATTTGCTGAGCTTTTTGAGGGCAGGAGCTGTATACTATTTATTTTCATAGCCCGAGTGCCCAGGGGTGAGTCCGGCCTGGGCGATGTTGAGTTCCACCCTAAAACACACGTACTGCACGGTTAGATGCACATAAGGAAAGTCTGAGGCTGTGACTTGAATGAATTTTGTTGAGAACTAAGCTCCACATTAGACTTTGTGAAACAGCCCTTTCAGCTACGCCAGTTTTTCAAAAGCACAAGTGAACATACTAACTAGATTAAGAGGAAGATGCAGCGGAATTCACTACATGGGCAGAAGGCTGTGGTGTTAGTCATTTCTGTGCGTGTGTGCATGTGTGTGCGTGTGTGTGCACATGTGTGCTTCACATCCCATCCCAGTACATGCCCGAGGAAGAGAAACAGCAGTTGCTGGCAATCAGTCTTGTGTCTCCAGACAGTTTTTAGAAGTTTCTCCTAAACCAAAACGCAGAACCTCTCTTGCTGAAGAGGAAATCCGAACAGGTGCTTTTAAGGCTTCTGTTTTCTCTCTCAGTAAGTTCAGTAGAGATAATAATATTAATGAAGTGCGAATGTTGCTGTGACAGTGATTTCTGACAGCTTCACAAAGAAGGACTCTCTTATCTCAACCTTTACTGCCAAAGAATGTGTACCCACAAGAGAGGCATTACTCAAAGCTCCTCTTAGCAGGTTCACGGAGCCCGACCTGGCCACTGTCCTGCTGTTTTCTCCAGCATGTTTTAACCAACCCGAAAATATCGATGTGACAAAGTCTAGCAAGGCACAGATATCTCACTGTCTTAGTTGGTCAAAGCCGGCATACGCGATTGTTATGGGAACCGACTTTCCTGAAAAGGTTCAGCTTTTGAAAGGCCTTAATTATTTTGTCTTTGGTGTTTAGATGGAAGACGTCATAGCTCGCATGCAGGATGAAAAGAATGGGATTCCCATTCGAACTGTCAAGAGCTTCCTTTCCAAGATTCCTAGCGTCTTCTCTGGTAAGTTGGCATTCGGTATGGCTCTCTTTTGTCCAGATCTTTCCCAGCCCTATTTAAACTCCCTTCTAGCTTCTCACTATTAAAACTCTCCAACTCACTCTTCAGTAACTGCATATAAAATGCTAGTGCCATATTTAACACTTGAAATGGTAATAAAATAAAGAAGCAAAACTCATGATCCTACTCTAGTTGCAAGGACATAATGACAAATGTGAAATAACAGAAAACAGTATTAGAATAAAATGTATGGGACAAATGTGATGTCGATTGTATACAGAAGTTAAGAGGGTGAAAAGAATCAGTGAGGAGTCAGGAAAAGGTTCCTGAAGATCAGTGATGAGCAAAATTTCAATAATGAGCCGTTCTATCAATTCAAGGGTGGAGCTTCGAGTGACCAAACTACAGAGAACCAGGCAGGTAGACAGGGACAAGTAGAGTTGAGTCAGATGATGAGGGTCTTTGAGAGCCAACCAAAAGAATATAATTCTGATGCATGGGAAAATGCAGAGACATTTAAAATTTTTGCAGAGAATGTTATGATGAAAGTGTTCGGGATCAGTTGACATTCAGTAAAGGCCATTGTCTCCATCATCGGTATAAGGTTCTTCTAGGAATAGTTTGGATGCCAAGATTCTGATATGTGAGGAGGAAGCGACAGAGAGGAAAGAGCATGAGGATTTGATGAATGACTGGGCCCCCAGGATAAAAGAAGACATCACCCAACTCCTGCTTGGTGTTTGTTTTTTAATTGGGTGGATGTGAGATAAAAGACTCATGATCACAACTACGGAAACCCCACGAGTGTGATTGGAAGTGACTAGAGAAACCCAAGAGAAAATGGGTACTAATAAGTTAGAAGTCTGTGCTCTGGCTTCTTGAGGCCCACCCTGTGGGGACTCAGGCAGGCCAGTACCTGGGCTCTCACGGCTAAGAGAAAAGGCGAGGTAAGACCAACGAAAGCCTTGTCGTGAGTGACAAGTGACAAGAGTAAGGAGTCTGCTGCTGAGCATGGGGAGTGGATGGTGCTTGATGGGCTTCATGAACAAAGAGTTGTGATGCTTCCTCACGATCAGGATCGAAAGAGGACCAGTGAACAGGAGGTCTCTGGCCCTGGCAAGAGCATAATAACCAGGACTAATAATTAATAATAAATGCAAATAAGGAGGCCCACATGTTGGGGTTTGAGAAATTCATTGCTCTTCGATCAGTGGTGGATGCTGACCAGAGCTTGGTCCATTGGCTCTCTCTCCCCTGAGCTGCTGTTGAGTTTCCTGAACCTCAGTTAAGAGTGTGTGTGTGTGGGGAGGGGGGACTAAGGCTTGCAGCCCCTGTCTCTTGTCTTCAGGGCACAGTGGTGGAACCTGTGCCAGTGTCCCCCTGGGATTCCCCCTCTCCTTCAGGCCTCCGCCCTGAAACATCGACCCTTGGTTCTGCTCTGCTCTCCAGTTCCTTCTTCCGTCTCAAACTTTCCTACATCTGCAACAGATTCAGCGGTAGTCCTTCGGAATGCAAATTTTACAAACCTTAACCACAGATATTTTAATTCATTGGCACTGGGATGCAGCCAGGGATTCGGCATGTTTAAGCTGATAAAGAACATAGGGGATCGGCACCTGCTGGTCTTGGAGGCAGGCTAAGTATATTTACCTTTAGGTTTTCTGTTGAGTTGAAAAACGCTGATCAGATTCCCACTATGTTCCAGTTACTGCACTGCGTTGGAGGGCTAATATTTCATTTTGGCAGGGAAATAGCTTATTCGACGTTGGGACTAAATGTTCCACTGGTGTGATGGACTGAGGTGAGTTCTGTTCCCAGAGGTTAAAAAAGTCAGTTGTAAGAGCAGAACTATTTCGACACTTTTACTTTATAATCAGATCTGCAACCTACAACATGAATGACATGTACTGACCCCCCTAAAGAAACACCTCTGTGAGGTTTGGGTACAATGATATAGAAGCCTTTAGAGTAGACAGAGGCATGATCATAGGCCTATTTTTAACTTTACCAAAGTTACAATCACAGATACTCACTTCATATTCTCTGGGTTGCTTCTGAGAGGACCCATGAAATGCATTTATTCTAAAATAAAACACTAAGAACGTTTGGTCTCTGAAGATAAATTCGACGTTTTCCTTTGCAAAAGCGACAAGAAATGTGTAACCTGTATTTTCCTTTTCCGTTGTCTTCTCATCTCTAGGAAGTTCATTGCCAAATTTAACGTTTCATTCGTATTTTCTCGCCTGACTCATCCCTGACATCCCCACCCTCCTTTCCCTTCTAATTGGTGTTCTGCCTGTCTTTCATCGCTGTGGTTTCAATTTGGCATCGTGTGTGTGCGTGAGAGGGAGGGAGAGAGGAAGATGGAAATTATAAATTGCTTCCAGTCCTGTTTCGGAGCAGGACTCAGTCTGGAAGAAGAATCTGAGAAGGGTCTGCTACGTGTTGGGTTGTTTTGCCCAGAATCTTCACCTTTCAAGTGCAGCTCTAGTCTGCCTTTGAACTGAAGCTCTCCCCCACAGCATAACATGAGAGATGAAGTTCATATATTACTGCATGAGATTTTTTATTGAAGTGTTCATGCAGTTTTTATACAATCGTATCCTCATAGTAGGGAAAAATAACTATAGAGCTAAAAATGTAATATTTTCAGATCTTGCTGAGGATTTCCCCTGGATGAAACCCACACGTCCTATTCCTACATGAAATTCATATCCTGTGACTTAACAATATTCAGTCATCTTTCATCTGAAAATCTTCAGTAAAGCAAACGGTGGCACTTGTATCAGCTGAAAAGCCTTCGTATTTAAGCTCTGAATAGAAGTAGAGCAGACCCAAGTTCAGATGGAGCCCTGAAGCTTGTGGATAAAAGAGGAAATGACCACTTTTACATTTGTGTGGCCTTTGATCCATCTTTGGGGACAATTTACAGCTATAACATTTACCCCAGCTACATGCGTATTCGAGTGAATTAAAACTGACAACAGAGGTTTTCAGTTGCTTAACAAGATGTTGAAATACGGGAGGGGGCAGGTTGCTTCATTTGTAGAAAATATATTACGTAATAAGAATATTGAATATTATTTGGGTTTAGATTTTTTTGTTGATTTACAGTCATGGATACTTTATAGAGTGTAAGTGTATAAACATAAAATAAATAGGCTTTAAAACCTAATGAGAGAAAAAATTGCTTTTTCAATATTTAGTGTTTTAAGAGTTTAACTCAGTCATAGGGATTTTCTTTTTAATAATAAAAGTATTTTTAATAAGGGCTTGTTATTTTGATTATATATATTAAAATAGCGATTACTTATATAAAACAATTATAATAACAATTACTTTTATATTATATATGATATATACAGGGTGGAGCAAAAGTAGATTTATAATTGTGAGTGTGCTAAACACAGAGTTTATACTTGTACTATTATTTATTAATTATTGTATTATTTTCCATACAAACAACTGTAAACCTACTTTTATCCCACTCTATATATTTCTTTTACTTTGGAGGAAAGTATTAGTAATTTGGGAGCCTAGTCATTGGCTTTTAATATATTCATTTAATTCCTTCCTATACTTCAAGGCCATTATTGTTTATCATTGTTTATCTCTATTTCTTAGAGAAGGAAATGGAGGGTCAAAGAGTTCAAATTTTGGTCTAATGTTACACAACTTACTACTATTTAAACCAAATCTGTCCAAGATCCAGTCCCTTTTCTGCACCACCACAGGTTCCTTCGTAAGGGCTGTTCGTTGGTTGAGCGTGACAAGTGAACATGAATCAGAATCTATGGGATTCTGAGTCCTGGGAACACTTACCTTTGTCTCCCAACACATCCCTCCTCCAGGTGGAAGCTCTGGAGCACTTGTCAGAAAGACCTGAGCTTGGTCTGTTTGATCTCTGAGGCTATGCATGACCTTGAGAAAATGTGGAGGTTAGACCTGATGATTTCCAAGTTTCCTTATAAGTTCTGTATTTCAGAGCAGTGAGGAGAGGAAAATGTGGGAAAGGATTACTGGAAGAGATTACACTAGACTATTCACAAGATGACTAGAGTCATCGATGGAAGTCTTACTGTATTTCCCCCCAGCCAATGCCATCCATGCCTACAGCTTTAACCCTTTGCGGTCATATTAAATTTGGACATGGGTGTCATACTGGTCGGAATTAAGAGCTTTCAGAGAAATTATGAACTGATACATGAATGAATAGAGTTAAGATTCGTATGGTTCCTTGCTGTGGTGGCTGAGAGCAGACATACGACCGCAAAGAGTTAATCATGTCTTGGTGCACCCTTCATGGGTGTACCTCTGGTCCAGACCTTCTCTCTAAACTCCAGTATATTAAACTTATGCAACGCCTCCACTGTGCTGTTTTTTTCTCTTTGGAGTGCTTCCTTCCCTTTCCCCCTCTGCTCAGCTTAGACCCCCCTCAACTCAGGTCTACCCCAGTTTCCTTTCTTAAATACACTCATCAAACCTCAGGTAGTATCTCTAGAAATATCCACCACCACAGCCCCACTCCCTGCAAATTAACTGAAATGAAAATGAAACTAGTTTACTGGCCTGACGCTCCACGATTCTTCAGAGTATTTGGGTGTTCTCCTATTTGGACATTCAATATTTCGATTATTCTAGATCATGGTGTAATAACTGGATGAGTTTCACCTATTGGATGAGTTTCATGCCCTTCAATGGATTGACTGGGAAATTACTGTGTTTCTCATGTAAGCCACAGCAGGAAATAAACCAGAATTCTCTTTTTGGTTCTTTGTGAATGGTGTAGGTTTACATTAAAATTGAATTATACTGTGCTTGTGAAGCAGCCCACTGAGATCAGAAGGGACTGCCTGTGGCAGCTATCAAATAAAATGGGTTATTTGATGTGTTTGAAGATTGGACTTAGGGCATGAATTTTTAGGAACCAAAGAAGCTGGTGCGTACTCCAAACCACTAAGCACTGTTAACGAGAGAAATAGAAATTAGTAGGGAGTTCTAGT